CACAAGCGGTGCTGGAAATCAATACCGTCAGGAGCTGTAGCTCAACACACTTAAAAGACCTACTTAAATGAGTTTACCAAACATAAACTCGCCATAAAAGGCAAGTTATTATTTTTTTCAGTTTAATTTTCGTAGTTATAATCATGAAAGACAAGAAAAGGCCACAACAGAACTGTTAAATACTTTTACTGACTGTGACAATACTATAAATTTCTCAAAGTTTTCAGTTTTTCCTTATATTCCTTTGTTAATTCTCTAGAAGGCCAGGAAAAGTTTATTTGAAAAATAAATTCAGCCAGACCACTCTGATACACTGAACTAATTCAAAATATAAAATCAGATTACCAGTCTACTACCAACACGGTTTAATCTTAGACTGAAAATTCATCTTAGTAAGATGCAACAGCGGGGTGATAAATGGTGTAAAATACCGACACAATGGAAAAATACATATTTAAGTAGTATAACGTGATCCTTGTGATAAATGGTTTTGAAAACCGACAAGTTGAAGATTGAGACACTTATGCAACATATGGGAATCTTTATTTAGGAAACGTTTCGCCACACTGTGACTTCATCAGTCCAATACTAAGTATTAACTGATGAAGCCATTGGGTGGCGAAATGTTTCCTTAATAAAGATTCCCATATGTTGCATAAGTGTCTCAATCTTCAATGTGATCCTTCATTTACAACGTTTCGCCCACACAGTTTGTGACTATGAAGCTCATCTGTGTTTGTTCGTCAAAGATACGACAGTGTTAAAAATTTAAACGTTCAGAAGAAACATTCAGGGAACTCGATACTCCATTCAGTTTAATAAACTAAAAGAGTTCCAACACGACCTAAACCAAACCTTAAATTGACCTAATGTTCAGTATGATAAACCTGCAATATGTTAAAGTCAGTAAAAGAGTCATACTCCAGTTTTTTCATAGTTTATCTGGAGCTTACCTGGAGAGGGTTTCAGAGGTCAACGCCCCCGCGGCCCGGTCTGAGACCAGGCCTCTTCTAACTATATTAGAAAAACAATTTACCTATGTTACACTTCCTTGGACAATACACACCACTCGCACGAGCCCTTCTAGGGCGGGGAAGGTGCCAGAGCCAGAGCTTGCTACCACCTGCAGCTCACAAGACTGCCATTTCCACGAGCCCCTTGGGGCGGGGAAGATGGCAGACCAGAGGCCTAGCTTCTCCCTTACGAGCCCCCTGATGGCTGGGAATGGGACTAGGCCTGGGGACAGATGGTCCCAGAAGTGGCTTTTCTGTCTTCATCAACATTTAACAGTTCGTTAAAATATTCCCTCCATCTTCCCGATACCTCTAACTCTCCATTTAATAACAGCGCTGTATAGCCCTTGTGGTTTAGCGCTTCTTTTTGATTATTATAATAATCTCCATTTAATAACTCTCCTGTTTTTAACTGTCAAAGCCATTCGCTCCCTAGGCTTTCTCAACTTCAGCTTATAACTGTTATGAACCTTCCTTTGAGTTAGCTCCATTAGTATCTGAAGTTTGAAGCCGTTCTGTGGAGCATTAACAAGTAATCGCATATAAAACATACTTTTCTTTTTTTGATAAATTTGACAAACTGAAACCTGCACGTCCAGTAACAACCCAAAATTTGCTTAAATAGATACACCAACTCGGAAAGTTTGATAGTTACTAGTTGAACCGTTCTCAGTTTATCGGACAGAAACCTCTGCACTAATTTCATTTATAAATATTAGTGAATACACTTCTGCCCAGTCCAAAATCAGTCCAAACCTTTATACGAGTAATAATCTTAAGCACTAAGTTTGAAGCCGATCAGAAGAGGCATTCACAAGTTATGGCATGGAGATCAGTGCCACCATTTGTTTTGATAAGAAACATGACACACGGCTCAGTAACAACATACATCTTCCGCTACATAAGATACGGAAGCTTTGAAAATTTGAAGCCGACCGGAAGAAGCATTCTCGAGTTCTCGCTTTGTAATCTGAAGTAATTAGACATGACGTAGTGGTATTAGTTTTGGTAGTAGTGGCACTAACAGTGGTGGTGATACTATTAGTAGTAGTGGTGGTGATAGTAGTAGCTGTCGGGATACTAGTAGCAGTGGTGCTGTAGTAGTAGTGGTGGTTATAATAGTGGTAGTGGTGATGGTAGTGGTAGTAGTAGTATCAGTGGTAGTAGCAGTAGTTTCAGTAGTAGTGTTAGTAACAAAAGTAATCTAGTTGTGGTATAAGAAACAGTATTGGTAATATAAGTAGTAGTGGGCATAAAAGTAGTTGTAGTATATATAGTAGTAGCATTAGTAGTTGTGATAGCATAAACAGTAGTAGTAAAAGTATAAGTCGTGGTAGTGCAAGTAGAAGTATTCATAGTAGTTGAAGTAGTGGTAGTTTTGGTATTAGTAAAATAAATAGCAGTATAAGTAGTTGTAGTGTTAGTATAAGTAACATCAGTGTTAGTATAAGTAACAGCAGTGTTAGTGTAAGTAGCAGCAGTGTTAGTGTAAGTAGCAGCAGTGTTAGTGTAAGTAACAGCAGTGTTAGTGTAAGTAACATCAGTGTTAGTGTAAGTAACAGTAGTGTTAGTATAAGTAACATCAGTGTTAGTGCAAGTAGCAGCAGTGTTAGTGTAAGTAGCAGCAGTGTTAGTGTAAGTAGCAGCAGTGTTAGTATAAGTAGCAGCAGTGTTAGTATAAGTAACATCAGTGTTAGTGTAAGTAGCAGCAGTGATAGTGTAAGTAGCAGCAGTGTTAGTGTAAGTAACAGCAGTGTTAGTATAAGTAACATCAGTGTTAGTGTAAGTAGCATCAGTGTTAGTGTAAGTAACATCAGTGTTAGTATAAGTAACATCAGTGTTAGTATAAGTAACATCAGTTAGTGTAAGTAACAGCAGTGTTAGTATAAGTAACATCAGTGTTAGTATAAGTAACATCAGTGTTAGTGTAAGTAACATCAGTGTTAGTATAAGTAACATCAGTGTTAGTGTAAGTAACAGCAGTGTTAGTATAAGTAACATCATGTGTTAGTGTAAGTAACAGCAGTGTTAGTATAAGTACATCAGTGTTTAGTATAAGTAACATCAGTGTTAGTATAAGTAACATCAGTGTTAGTATAAGTAACATCAGTGTTAGTGTAAGTAGCAGCAGTGTTAGTATAAGTAGCAGCAGTGTTAGTGTAAGTAACATCAGTGTTAGTGTAAGTAACATCAGTGTTAGTATAAGTAACATCAGTGTTAGTGTAAGTAACAGCAGTGTTAGTGTAAGTAGCAGCAGTGTTAGTGTAACATCAGTGTTAGTGTAAGTAACATCAGTGTTAGTGTAAGTAGCAGCAGTGTTAGTGTAAGTAGCAGCAGTGTTAGTGTAAGTAGCAGCAGTGTTAGTATAAGTACATCAGTGTTAGTGTAAGTAGCAGCTAGTGTTAGTATAAGTAGCAGTCAGTGTTAGTGTAGTAGCACAGTGTTAGTGTAAGTAGCAGCAGTGTTAGTGTAAGTAGCAGCAGTGTTAGTGTAAGTAGCAGCAGTGTTAGTATAAGTAACATCAGTGTTAGTGTAAGTAACATCAGTGTTAGTATAAGTAACATCAGTGTTAGTGTAAGTACAGTCAGTGTTAGTGTAAGTAGCAGCAGTGTTAGTTAAGTACAGCAGTGTTAGTGTAAGTAGCAGCAGTGTTAGTATAAGTAACATCAGTGTGTAGTGTAATGTATAAAAAGATAGTGAGTAAATAATACAGCAGTGTTAGTATAAGTAGTTGTATAGTATAAATAAAGATAAGTAGTGTGGAGTAAAACAGTACGAGTAGTAATGTTGCTAGTAAGTAGTAGTAGTGTTAGTATGAAAACTAGTGATGAGAACTACTGTGTGTGTGTGTTGTGTGTGTGTGTTGTGTGTGTGTTGTGTGTGTGTGTGTGTGTGTGTGTGTGTGTGTGTGTGTGTACTCACCTAATTGTGCTCGTCTAATTGTGGTTGCAGGGGTCGATTCATTGCTCATGGCACCGCCTCTTCACTTGTCGCTACTAGGTCCAATCTCTGCATGCTCCACGAGCTTTATCATGCCAAACCATACCACGGGAAGGGATAGAACCCGTGGTCAGAGAGTCTCAAAACTCCAGACCGTCACGTTAGCCACTGGACCAGCTAGCTGGTCCAGTGGCTAACGTGACGGTCTGGAGTTTTGAGACTCTCTGATCGCGGGTTCTATCCCCGCCATAGTATGGTTTGTTTTGCTATCGTGTCATTACATTTCTGAGTCAAGCTTATCATACCAACTACAAAATAGCTATGTATGGTTCTCGCCTCACTATAGCCACTGACCAGATTATTGTACGTTCCTGATGACTCTGTGATCGAGGAATACTATCCCCACATCTGGTTGTGACTCATTCGATTTCGTTCAACTTCATCATTTCATAGAACCCTTGTTGGTTTCTGCCTCCTAATCATTCCAGTTCTTACCCTGCACTCTGTGCTAAGTATTTTACATTGTACTCTTTATCATTCATTCCACTATCCCTTGTTGCTGTGTCATATGTTGGATCTGTGTCGTAGTGTCACTTCTGTGTTTTTATTTGTTGTGCGCGGCATCCGCACCCGTGTGTGTGTGTGGTGTGTGTGTGTGTGTGTGTGTGTGTGTGTGTGTGTGTGTGTGTGTGTGTGGGACCCAGCTTGCACAAGCCAGTAGGACTGCTGCAGTGCTACTCCCTTCTTAAGTTCTTAGTAACACCGGTTGTAACTGTAATAGTATAACTAGTACTAGTGGAAACAGTAATAGTTATGGCAAAATAATCTAAACGGTACTTTTATATTCCCTATTAATGAACGGTGTACAGAGCGCGTTTAAATAACATGTACTGAACATTGTGTACTCAATATTTACTTTGTGTACTCAACTATGCTCAAGTAACACAATGTACACCATACTTTCTATACCGATATCAAAAAATTATGAATGGCAAGAGCAAATCCATTTAGAAATTGCTTGTTGTAAGATTGAAAAAATGTACTTACCTATTTTATGCATACATGGGTTTTATTCTTCTTTCCTGTAATTTAAAGTGACAGGGGAGCCTCCCTCTCTTAATTCTGCAAACTGACTCGAAGATTTTGTTAGGCAGTACATCGTACGTGACGTTAATATAACTTCAAGTACTGATTATGTCGCTAAAACAGTGACCAAAAAACTGTTCACACCAAGTGGAAGTCAAGATTGGAGCGACACACACACTGTGGCAGTCTGGGAGCTACTGGCTGGTCGCGCCGTCTGTGGCCTTTATAAACTCTTCCATCCTCTGGCTGCTTGTATCATTGTATTATATTTCGTTAGATTAAAGTGTACACTTGCAGGTTAGATCGGCTGCAGCTATTAGCAGCCAGAAAGTGTACGCTTACAGGTCAGTTCGACTGCAGCAACTAACAAGTGTACACTTATAGATCAGCTCGACTGCAGCAACTAACGAGTGTACACTTATAGATCAGCTAGACTGCAGCAACTATCAAGTATACACTTACAGATCAGTTCGACTGCAGCAACTAACAAGTGTACACTTATAGATCAGTTCGACTGCAGCACTAACAAGTGTACACTTGTAGATCAGCTCGACTGCAGCAACTAACGAGTGTACACTTATAGATCGATCAGCTAGACTGCAGCAACTAACAAGTATACACTTACAGGTCAGCTCAACTGCAGCTATTAACAGCTAACGAGAAAATAAAGACAACTAAAGTTACATCCTCATTTAATAACAGATAAGTTATATGCATCAGCTCAAAATTATTTTTGAAAAAAGTCATGAATAATCTTCAATCTGACGTGATAATTCACTTTACGAACTTTTCCAAGACGGCAGTGTGGCCGGAGGAAGTAGACGGGTGGGTGAAACTCTCGGTTCAATACTATTCCCTGTTTTCTAGATGGGAGTACTTGGAATATAGTTAAATTTTTTTCTTCGGCTTTTAGCCTCGATGTAGATCGTAACCTCTTCTGTTTATTAAGAGTACTCATTTACTGAGTACTATTCTATCACGGTTATGCTGTGTTGTGTGTGTGTGTGTGGTGTGTGTGTGTGTGTGTGTGTGTGTGTGTGTGCGTGCGTGCGTGCGAGCGCGCGTGTGCTTGTCTGTCTCCTCTTTCCTCTCCTTTTTTCTTTCTCCCTCTCTATTTTCTCTCTCTTCCTCCCTCTTTCCACTTCCCTCTCTCTCTCTCTCTCTCTCTCTCTCTCTCTCTCTCTCTCTCTCTCTCTCTCTCTCTCTCTCTCTCTCTCTCTCTAAGAGTTTTAATGTCTAACTTGAACACTAACTTGTCGAACTCTCTTCCAGGTTTTGCATACAAACAAAATTAATCCTTTTGTCGCAAGCTCAGGATCTCCGAGTCTCTTTGAAGTTCAAATGAGAAGTATCGATTTTACACCAAGTCGCCAGGCAGCCAATGAGAGGCGTGGATTCCACGCCAGTCACCATGCAGCCAATGAGAAAGCATTGATTTCACACCAGTCACCAAGCAGCCAATTACAGGCGTGGATTCCACGCCAGGCAGCCAATGAGAAGCGTGGATTCCACACCAGTCACCAAGCAACTAATCCTCCAAGTTTTTACCTTTCGGTAAAAAACGCACGCTCTTACATTTCACCTCGCGATGCTTGACGTAATCCATTCTTTTTTTTTTATAGTTTTTTGTCGGAATATCTGAATATGGAGGAAAAATATTTGGACATCGAGAAAAAATATTTGGATATCCAGGAACAATATTTGGATATTTCCCCGAAGCCCTTTGAATATTCCACTTCTCCTTCATCCCTATTTTTTTTAACCGTACAGATATGTATATTTTGCAGTATGGTTGGCGAAACTTAATATATTGATGGTATAAAGTTGGATCATTGAAAATATGAATCTTGAGGGACACATTACACGTGTTTTTAACATTTCTATACTTACAATCAATTTGAATAAATAATATATGTGTAACGGGAGCTTTTTCAAGCCCTCGTGTATATACCAGGATATGTGCAACACTTGGTTATCTTAATTGAGGAAACGCTTCGCCACACAGCTGTTTCATCAGTCCAGATAAAGGAGAATGTTGAAGAACAGGAGTAGTTTGATGTAATCAGTCCATCAATCAGGCTGAGGGACTGATTACCTCAAACTACTTCTGTTTTTTCAACATTCTCCTTGTATGGGCTGATGAAGCCACTGTGTGGCGAAACGTTTCCTCAATAAGATACCCAAGTGTTGCACATGTGTCTAATTTATCAACTTGTCGGTTCCCTGAACCATTCATCTACATAACAGGATAGTTTACAGAACAGTGAATTCATCAACAGTAAAACAGATGAAAGAGAAAGTGACAATTCTGATGGCAATGGATTTAAAGTAAAATGTTAAAGAATAGAAAGCAATAATGCCGTGGCAGGAACTATGCAAAAATAACCCGCTCTTAGAAACTTATAGCGACGTCTGGTCTCTGTAGATGTCCTCCTTCCTCGTTACATTGCCAGATGCTCTAAACTTCAGAACACTCGTAAGTTTACCTGACTTTTGTCTTCTCATCTTCTTGCCTCTTCCCTTTAACCGTATTTCATTGCCTTTCCATAGTGGATTCTGCTCTATAGAGGTTTTATCCGGTACTCGTGGCCCAGATATATCTATATTAATAGTAACTTGTATACAACTTATAACTACTACAAAAAACACCACAGTCCAGTTCACATTAGCTCACTAGCACACCGTTGCTGATGAGTTGAAATAAATGAGCATTTATGAACAGGGAGGCTCCATGACACCCCTACTTTCTGCAGGCTACTTAGCCTACAGTGGAAATGTTAATTAAGTTACAACATCAGAGTCGAAATACCAATTGTGTCCCTGTGTCCGAGATACAAAATGAAGCTTCCAGATACTTCTTACAAAGCTTACAATGTTTCATAACTAATTTTGCATCCTCACACCTCATGAGATGATCATGTGAGTTACAATGAACCACCCAAGCACTGGTTTCCATTGTCGACATGGTCACAAATACGTGAATTTAAATTTCTTGATGTATCGCCTATGTAAATCTTCTGGCAGCCTCCACACGGAATAATGTAAATGCCGACATCGTGTTGTCAAAACTTGTAGTAATGATTTCAGTTAGATCTTTTAACAGTGATGTTACTGGCTGTTGCTTCTCTCATGCTGCATGTTGAGATTGACATAATGTTCTCACATGCATTGTTAGGGAGAATGATTCAGGATTTAGGATTACATTCTGTTTTGAGTAGACAATAAGCTCTTCACTCGAATTCCAAAGGAAATGTGAAAGGAATTCTAATTTCATGAAAACCTGGCAAATTCAGGTACATTCCTCACCCGTGTTTCCCGAGCTTCATATTGTGTGTGCTAGTATGTAAAAGTCTATAATTACACCCTGATTAGTCCGTGTGCTCTGGTGTAAAAAAAAAAAAAGGAGCTTTCTAGTTGGTGGATTTAATAGGAACCTGGAACTTTAATGTGTGGTAGGATTTGCGTATTAAAACGTCAAGCAAAGATATGTTATCTCCTTCTAAGGTAATTTGCATACTTGGTAGAGTTTATCTCATAAATGTCTGCTGGTTATCCATCTGGGGGCGATAAGTGTTATCTAGGCACCGTGACTAAGTTCGCTGCTTGGGACGATGTTACTGAAGCGTTCTTCTTCAAAATGTTCATAAATAAGTTAAAACTGCATTAATGAGTGTGCCCATTCCCATAGTATAACATGTAGAGCTGACCTCTTTAGAGAAACTTTTTCCAACGGGGGGAAGGGGGTTACCCAATTTGCTGCAGCAGAGAGGTATCTATGTGGAGTTAAGACTAACTATTCAGTGCCCTCATAGGTGGGTCCATGCCCAACATACAGGTAAGGGTCACCCATGACTTTCATGTGACATACTTGCTGTAACCGTTAATATATGTCAGCAGGGCGAGTATTGATCCTGGTTATATTCACTCTTTTCGAAGCCCTGTGGTATATACATAGACAGCTGATCCATCGAAGGAGACGCCTAGACCCGCGATTGGTGGGGTTCTGAGCTGTCAATGACGAAGATGAGTATACCAGATCAACAGTGATCTTTATTATATTATTAATTATAGCACTCATCACCCAAAATCTCATACATATGACAGAATTAAATAAAAAAAAAATATCTATAGCTGGGAGGAATGGAGTGAGGTTTAAGTTGTCATGTGCTTCTCGCAGTAAGAGTGTTGTGAACAGGAAGGCCACTTTCAAACTCGCCATCTTCATGTTCCTCATGTTGATGTGTTTTATTCTATTATTTAGATCATTCTAATACTTTACATGTGCTTTCCTTATGGTTTTCAGGAGAAAGGAAAGATTCTAGGTAGGAACTCCACCTATAAATAACAAAAAGGCACAATACCGTGACTGGAACGATACACAGATAACCCGCACATAAAAGACAGAAGCTTACGACGACGTTTCGGTCCGACTTGGACCATTGACAAAGTCACTCCTCCTCCTCTGTTAGTGTGACTTTGTCAATGGTCCAAGTCGGACCGAAACGTCGTCGTAAGCTTCTGTCTTTTATGTGCGGGTTATCTGTGAACTCCACCTAATTTGTGTGAGAGCCTTGCCAATACCGGATGTGAAGGCCTCGCTTGGACTGCTGGTTGACGTGTTTGCGGGGGAGATCATAAATTTCTGTTGATTTTGGATTGCCAGCGACTGGGAACAGAAAGTTGTTTCCATGATCATTTAGTATTAAGATTTGTCTGACGCTGGGAAGCAAATTTTGTGAGGGAGTCCCAGGTGGATGAGGTGATGGAGTCATATATTTTGCATCGCTAAGTAAATCATTCATTGTGGCGTCGTCGTCAGATTTATTAAAAAAAAAAAACACTCCTTTATCAGCGGTAATTATGATTAGGGTGTTGTCGTTTTCCAATCCTTTGTAGGCTATGTAACCTTTGGGTTAGGATATAAGCCATTATAACATTAGATCTCATTTCCGAACATGATCCTGACGCCCTCGGCTTTGGCTAAAAATTCTCAACAATCATCAATAAAACCACCTACCAACTAGACGAGGGTTTATGCAAGGTGTCTTCACTCACTGTGTATACCAGTGACTCTTACCCTACCCAACCTATGGCAAAAACAGTGCTCTGAATTATACGCGCATGCGTGTGCACGCGCGCGGGGGCACACACAGACTGATACTCATACAGACAGACTGATACACATA